TGGCATCTTTTAAAAAAGAAATGGGGGGATGGGGAACGGGGGGGGGGGAACATCTGGATTCGAAACAGATATCCTTCACTTGGGATGCGCAAAGGCTGCATTGCCACCCGGGACCACTAGATGGCAGCTTATTCTCAGAGAGCCACGTTGCAGCCCCCTTTTGGACTAGGTAAGGTTCTACTTAAAATACTTTCAAATTTAAAAGAAGAAAACTCATAAATGGACATTGTTTCACGTTGTTTCCTTCTTTTGAAATGCTTTAACCATTTTTAAACCATTCACAGTCACTGGATGGTATATACAATTTATTACTGTTACTTTTGTAATGAGGTATTCTAGGGCAGGGGTCTCTAAACCTTGGCAACTTTAAGATTTGTGCATGTATATATGTTTTTATTGTTTACATATAGGTTTATTGAGCACAGTGAGGCCATCCTGGTGTTTTCTCCGCCATACACACCAAAGTGAAAGAAAAAAATTGCTACTTATGCATTGCTAGCCTTGTACAATTATTTTTGACCAATATATATATAATGTCTTATTCCGGGTCGATTTAACTTAGTTATTTCAGGTTCCAACTCCCACCTCTTAGTTCCAGCCATTGATAAAATCTCTTCCAGGTGTCACAGTATTCTGTCTCCCCTTTGTTTTTTTTTTAATTCTAACGTTAATCTGTCCAATTCTGTGCACACTAATATTTTCTTTAATATCTCCTTTTCTGAAGGGGTGTTTTCACTTTTCCATTGCTGGGCATATACACCATCCTCGTTGCCATCAGGATGTGCAATATTAGGTATGTTAACCCTTGATGATAATCATCTGTTATAATTCCAAAGTTGCCAAGGTTGGAGGCCCCTCTTCTACAGGCCCTACTATCCGGAGGTGCGCCCGATCCTTTTTGTTCTCCTATCCTAACAGGATCCAGGCAAGAGGAAGAACTGAGGCCAATCGAATGAGGAGGGCAGGAAAGTCACCCCATTTTCCCGAAAAGGGGCGATTCCCAGGAGCTTCGCCTACGGGCCTCTCGAAGCCGGACGTGTCCCGGAGAACGAGAACTTCCGAATTGCACTCACTGGAGTTGGAAGGCCAAGATTCCCGATATTCGCTCCCCACGTGGCCTGCAGGCGATTTCCCTCGGACCTGAGCAAAGGAAGCAGATGGATGAGGGGTGGGCTTCTTGGACACTCTTCCATGTGAATCGTTCCCGGATCTCGGGGGCGGTACTCATCTCCGTTTCAAAACCAAAGAAGAGCCAGCGCCGTCCGAAGACGTCTCCGTGGTCGTGTGGCCGGCATGACTAAACACCGAAGGCGCACGGAACACTGTTCCCTTCCCACCAAAGGGATCCCTATTTTTCTACTTGCATTTTTGACATGCTTTCGAATTGCTAGGTTGGCAGAAGCTGGGACGAGTAACGGGAGCTCACTCCATTACGCGGCGCTAGGGATTTGAACCACCGAACTGCCGACCTTTCTGATCGACAAGCTCAGCATCTTAGCCACTGAGCCACCACGTCTCTTTTATTTCCCATTACCTGAACCAAAAGTGGTTCTTTTAGAGAAGCCTAGAAGGCTACACCCAGCTACACCGAAGCTCTAACGAAAGGCGGATTAAAAAATCCTGCAAATGACGAGTTCCTAAAAGTCTGGATTGAACAGACTTTTCAATCCAGACTTCAGCTAGGTCAGGATTTGGCCTGGTCCTTCCAGGACAGGAACGCAAGAGGTTCTCCCAACATGGATGGGGCCTTTGGAGAGAGAAGACCTGGGTTGGCCCAATGGAAGGACTTCTGCTCGAAACCAAGGCACCGTGTAGGGTTGTAACATCCACACAGCTCGGAGCCCCACCGGAGCGAAATAGGGGCCCTTCTAGGGAGAACACCAGGTCTATAGAAGTGATGGCTAACCTTTCGGATACCAGGTGCCCAAACTGGAATGCGTGTGCATGGCGTGTGCTGGAGCACAGGAAACCCAAAGACCAGCTGGCCAGTGCGCACATGCCTGTTTTGGGGGCATTTGGGGGGTAATTTTCAGGGCCATTTTCAGGCTGTTTTCCAGCCAAAAAAACAGTCTGAAAATGGCCCAGAAAACATCCTGAAAACCAGCCTGAAAACAACCCCCAAAATGCCCAGAAACAATGTGAAAAACACTCAGAAAACAGCCAGAAAATGGCCAGAAAACAGCCATAAAACAGCCCAGAAAATGGCCAGAAACTGCCCGGTAAATGGCCAGAAAAACAGCTGGAAAATGGCCCAGAAAACAGCCGGAAAAACAGCTGGAAAATGGCCCAATAAACAGCTGGAAAATGGCCCAAAAAACAGCTGGCAACTGCCCGGAAAACGGCTTGTTTTTCGGCCGTCTTTCGGGCCGTTTTCAGGCACTCCAACACCCACGAAAACCAGCCGGCTGGTGCGCATATGCACACGAGAAACCAGAAGAGCAGCTGGCAATGGCACACATGCTCACAGAGAGGGGTCTGCGTGCCACCTCTGGCGCGTGTGCCATGGGTTCGCCATCACGGGTCTATAGCTTCTCAGGCGGAGACCCTGCCTGAGGACAGGAGCTGAGCTGCCCTCACAGCTCCAGCGGGAGGGAGATCTGGTGAGAGAAGACGAAGAGGTCCATCGGAGGACCCACCCAGCGGCCGGGCAGACCAGTCCCGGAAGCCAAGAGCAGAAACTCTCTTGGGCGTGGCCCTCCAAGCAGGCTTCGGGGCTACCTCCGTGGGACCGGAGCTAAAGGAGATGCGTCCTACCTCAGCCCAGAGCGAGGTGCTGCTCCTGAGAACGCGGGAAGGGGAATTATGGGTGCCTCAAGGGAGGGGAAGGCCAAGCCGCCTCGGAGCGGAGGCTCCTTACCCTCTTCTCCTGCCTCTTCTGCACCTCCATGCGGTGCAACCTGTCCATCAGGCTGGAGATGCCCTGCTCCAGGCTATCAATGGTGTGGTGTTGGGGGTCGTGGCCGCTGAAGCTGTTCCGCAGACTACGCAGGGCCTCGCGCACCAGCTGCAGGTCACTGGCCTGGCAGGAGAGAGACCCAGAAGCAGGGGGAGGTGGGTGGGCTGGATGCCACCAGGCCAACACTGTAAAAACCAGCCCTGGGGAAAGCCCCCTCCCCCTCCCCAAGCCGTGGAACCCGAGGGGAGCGTACCCCTCTGTGCGTTGAAGACGCCGTTCCTTTCCCCAAGGACTGGAGGAACCCATTGCTCTGAGAGTTGTGGTTGCCGTAGAGGATCACCTGCTTTGCAAGAGAGGAAGGGAAGCCGTTTGGCAAGGCTGGGAAGGGCCAGCTGGAAACCTAGCCACCCTTCCCAAGCTCGGCTCAGGAGCCATCGATGTCTGGCAGGCCAGCGGGGTCTGTCCCCTCAGGTAGCCTAGCGTGAGAAAAGGGCGGCTTTCGAAGGAGTAGGGCTGGTCTGTTCTGCCTGTCCTGCCAACTGGGAGGAACCCGAACCGTCCACCACGTCCCTCCTCTCCCCAAGAACTCAAAGTTGACCTCCTCTTGGAGGGGACCTTTGTGCTCTCTGAGCTTGGCTCCTCCTCCTCTCCAGAAACCCCCACTCCCTCCGGCACTGGTGATGTTACCTAGCTGGGTAACACGTCTGCAAGAAAACCACCAAGCTCAGAGTACCAAGAACTCCACAGTCCTCCCCACTCCCTTCTAGCACTGATGATGTTACCCAGCTGGGTAATGAAACACCTGCAAGGAAATCACCAAGCTCAGAGAACACCAAGGACCCCACAGTCCTCCTCCTCCCAAACCCTTCTAGCACTGATAACGTTACCTAGCTGGGTCATGAAACGTCTGCAAGGAGAGAACCGGACTCAGAGGACCCCCCCCAAGGGCCCCGCATTTCAACCCCGAGCTACACATGTTCTCCTCTACTGAAGCCACCTTGGCTGGCCTGTACACCTGCCCTTCCAGAAGCCGAGCGAGAGGGACCAGGGACCCAATTTCGCACCCCGCCGGAGCGCCGCATACCTCTTCCACGTCCTTCTTCAGGCAGCGCGCCAGGAGAAGTTCCCTGTGCTGCAGCTCCTTTTCCAGCTCGGCCTGGGAGGGAAGAGGCAGAGAGGCCGATGGGATTTATTTCTGTTTATGACACGGCTATGCCGCTCGTCTGACTATCCAGAGGGGCCCAAAAGCAGCCCAGGGCGCTCCCAGCTGGAGGGGGGGGAGGCCACGGGGAGATGGGGTGGGGGGGGAGCCCCCTACCTGCTGATACCCGGCCTCGGAGAGCTGGTGTAGCATCTCTTCCATCTTGGCCTGGTGCTGATGCAGGAGCCGGTCCTTCTGGCTTAGCTCTTTCTGGAAGGGGGAGGGAGGGAGGGAGGCTCAGTCTGGGGGGGGCTGCACTTTGGGTCCTTCCCTGGCCAGCCCCCCCAGATGCTTGGAAGAGGAGGGTGCCATCCCAAGACAGGGAAGAGCAGAATGTGAACGATGGAATAAGAGCCCCAAAGGAAAATTTCTCATCCAAGAAGCTTCATCGGCTCCGACTGGGATGGTGGGGAAATGGAAGGATCGATACGCCTTGCAAGACAGAACTGGTCATTTGCATCCTTTGAGAGGGTCGTTGAGGCCACTTGGAGGTTTATCTGTGTCCTCGGGGCCGAACTGAGTGGTGCCCCTGGTTCCTGGAGTCTGCTACGGACTTTTAGCTGTACAGTTTGGGAGGGACACCCTTGGAAGGGTGGGGGAGGAATAGGAAAGGATTTCCAGTGGAAAAAAAATTGCAGACTACAGGAACCATTTGCACCACTCAGGTGACCCTGAGGACACAGATAAACCTCCAAGTGGCCTCAACGACCCTCTAAAAAGATGCAAATGACCAGTTCTGTCTGCAAGGAAGACAAATCCTTCCCTTCCCCACCGTCCAGTCTGAGCGGATGAAGCTTCTTGGATGAGAAGTGAAATGTCTTCAAAGAAAGAAACCAGAGAAACCCAGTTGCCACTTGAAGAAAAACAAAGCACCTTTAGGACATCCGTGGCCTAGAGGACTGAGAATCTCCGTGGACGATGAAGAAAGAAGCTGCCGAGAGGCTTATGACTTCTGTCTCTGGGCTCTCTTGGTGGGGAGCTTTCCCCGGTCCCAAACCCCAGGAAGGTGAGAGGGAAGGACTTCCTGGTTACCTGGGAGCCAGCAGCTCCCAAGAACGCTCCCACACCAACAAGCCCCGGAGGGGAGGAAGACCCCCTTACCTTGTACTCCGCCAGAAGCCGGTTCCTTTCTTCCACTTTCCTCTGGAGATCAGCCTGCAGAAGCAAGATTCGAACACAGATGTGATGACACAAAAATAACCAAGTCCACAAAAGTAGAATAAATTCCCTTTCATGCCTCCAACTTGGCCCCCCCCCCGATGTTCAATCATCCTCGGCTGGAGATCAAACTCTTCCGAAAACGGTCCACGAAGGGAAGAAATGCAGTCCGAACCCAAAGTAAAGACAATTAGAAATAAAAAAAAAAGCCAACACAAACCACACTGAAGTAATTAACACAGCAGGCCAGGATGATAAATTGCAGACTTTCAAAGGATAACGCAGCACCCGCAGTTGGGAGGATGCCAAAACCCAGATAGGCCTCGGCCAAGAAAATGCACGCTTTGCTTCCAGCAAGACGCTTTGTGCAAACGCCCTTCTTATATCTTGTTCTCCCAGCTACAACTAATGAAAGGGATCAGGGCCCTTTTCTCTCCCGTAGGCCATGTTGCTCCCTTCTCCGTTCCTCCCGGCATGCTCTAGGATGAAGAGGGGGTGGCCCTGGGTCTTCCTCCGAATGTTCAGCCGGACTGTGCCCTTCCCCCGTTTCCTCCACAGCCACCGGAGCCCCACTCCCGCTCCCACTCCCCGTCAGCTGCTCAATCTCCCCCTCAGAGTCAGACTCCAACAAGGGCATGACAGCAGAGTTGGGACCTTGGCTGACAGTCCTGGGCTGAAGCAGGTGGGTACAGATCTGAAACCTGCCTTTCTGACCCAGCCACGGGGGTCATGCTGCCCTTCCCCACTCCCCTCCCTCCCCAGCTCCCCCCTCTCCTCCCACCGGAGACCCCCTGGCAAGACCCCTCCCGTGTCCCTAGGCCCTGCGGGGGCAGCCCTCGCCCTCCCCTGCCAAGAAAGAGGCTCACATTCTGGCTGTGCAATTCCTCCTTTTCCATATTTGCTCTCAGCAGCTCCGGTTTTATCTGAAGCATCACCGTGTCTTGCTGGGCCAGCCTCTGCTGCAAAGCATCCTTTCAAAAATAAAAATAATAAATGGCTACACCCCATTTCCGGCTCCAAGCACCCCCATAATCAATGCTACAGAGTGGCACCTCTTCTCGGGGCTTGAACTGACGTTTCGATCTCTTTCTAGCACGATTTCTTTTTAGAGAGCGGACCCCAATAAGTTCCATGAGCCCGACCTCGTGTTATTTAATTGTTTCTTAGATTTATAGCGCGCCCCTCTAATTTTGCCACCCAAGGGCTTCTGGAGACCCTTCCCCTCCCCCAAATGGCCTGATCCCACCTCCATCTTCTCCGTGTCAGGATTCCAGCAGTTACCCCCCCCCCAATTAAATGCTGAGTCTCGAGCCAAACTTCCAAACCTTCAAAAGGATTTATTGGGAGTTAACATGTCCGGCACTGCCTGGGTGTAGCCGACTCTGAGACACGTAATTCATTGTCATCCTTGATCCTCATTTCCCACCCCACCGCCTGGGTGTATCCTAAGTCATATTCTCCAACGGGACACCTCCATAGCCCAGAGTCATCAATCATGCGCTCCAGTTAGAATTTTGCACGGCAGAAACTTCGGTCACCTCGTTACTATCTTTGAAAAACTATTTACGGAATGCACTTTTCGGTTTGCAAGCAGCGTTGACACGCCAACGTTCTCTCTCTCACCTTGACTCCCTGCAGGTTTCGGTTTTCCTGCTTGCATTTCTGCAGCTCCTTCTGCGGGGAAGCCAAAGAAAGGGATTGGGAGGTTCGGCCCCTTTCCCGCCTCCCCCCACCCCCTCAACTCTTCCCGCTTGCATCCATTGACTCTAGCCCGCCCACCCACGCAACCAACCCCGGTCGCCCTTTAGGCCAGAGGATGCCAAGAAGGTCCAGAACCCTCACCAACTACAACACCTGCTTGAAGACCATCGCCCCAAAAAATAGCCCTAAAATCAGGTTGGTCATTTGAGGATGGTCTGGATTTCTGACCGTAACAGGCAGGCTCGCTTATGGACGTATCTCGAGGTGCATTGGGAAGCAGCCGCCGCCGCCGCCCCTTTCCTCACCTTCAGGTCCTGGTTCTCCTCCAGACTCTGATCCAGGCGGCTCCGGATGATGACCTGGAGACCCAAGAGGGCTGTTACCGCCCAGCACCTCCGTCCCCAGCCGGGCCAGGGAGGGGCGGGAGGGGGGGGAGGAAAAGGCTCACCAGCTGCTCTTCCAGAGCACCATCCTGCTCGCACAGCCCCAGGGAGCGTTCCTGCTCGTCCTCGGGGAGGGACCCGTTCAGCAGCAGCGCCTGGCGGGGCAAGAAGGGGGACAAGGGGTGAAGCCCCGTGGAAGCCCCCCCCCCACCCAGGAGGAAACCGGCCTCCTTCTTCCAGGGGACCCAGGGAGATAAAAGGGGGTTCCGCCTCCTGAAGGAGGGAGGGAAGCCGCAGGCAGAAGCCCTGCAAGGGGGGCCCCCCTGGCCCCAAGCCTGAGACCGAGGAAGGGAGGGAGAGAGGGAATGGGAATGGGAATGGGAGGGAAGGAAGGAGGAAGGAAGGAAAAGAGGGAGGGAGGGAGGGAGGGAGGGAGGGAGGGAGGGAGGGAAGGAAGGAAGGAAGGAAGGAAGGAAGGAAGGAAGGAAGGAAGGAAGGAAGGAAGGAAGGAAGGAAAAGAGAAGGGAGGGAGGGAGGGAGGAAGGAAGAAAGGAAGGAAGGAAAGAAAGACAAGTGGGAGGGAGGGAGGGAGAAGGGAAGGAAGGAAGGATGGAGGGAAGGAAGGAAAGAAGGAAAAGAGAAGGAAGGAAGGAAGGAAGGAAGGAAGGAAGGAAGGA